GAGAAAAACCAGGTGATCTTTTAAGCTGAACACATGTTAAATTAATATTGAATTAAAATTAGGTTAATTGCAACATGGCTGCCATTGTACACTTTATTTTTTTACAAGTTTTTAACTAAAATAAATAAATAAATACCAGGGGTGAGGTTTTTGATGGTTACAGTATAAAACCTCAAACTCCATGCTATTCCTGACATTTTGAATTGAAAAAGCTTCCTGGAAGGGAAGCGATACATCTTAAAACTTGGAAACAAAGTCCAGTGGATTGTTTCCAATGTTTTTTTTTTTTGTTTTTTGGAATGACTATGACCTGGATGACTGAGAATCTTCAACAGCTTACGCATCAAAATGTTTTTAACCACCAAAAATTTTAATTTCTATCTCGGCTTTTTATTATTGGCACATTCAAGGGGGAGGTTTCGTAATAAAAACAAAGGAACTAAAAAAAAACAGGAGGAATAGAAGGAAGAATCTAAACGAATTGAAAGGTTTTCTATAAAAGGAGGGTGCGGGTGTAATCCAGTAACAACCAGAGACCAGATCTTGACACATAACAAGATCTTAGCTCCTAGTGCTTTATCACTTTATTAGTGAAAATATACGTGGATGTTCCCAAATGAAGGAATTCATATGTACCCTAGTGGCCAGTAGGCGATATTACAGCACAAATTTAAGCCTTTTAAATATGCCTTCATTCATTTCTTTAAAATAAGAGAAAATTCTCCAACAACAGCCTAAGATCTTCAGAAAGACGGGAGAGTGACAGCTTAAAACGACTTTACAAGATTATAGACCACTTTGAAAAGATTATAATAGATATAATAGATTTATTTTTAAAGATGTAAAACAAACAAAAAGAATTTTTTTAATTTCCAAACAAGTTTATTATATTTACTTAGGATTTTTAATTGGACAAATTTGCTGACTTACAGTTTGGATTTTTATCTGACCACTTTTCAATGTTGGTAACAAAGGTGAAAAAATTATTTTAAAACTGAAACGTTTTTCCATACAAGGAAATAGTTGCACCAACACCAACATACTCAAGAAAACTCTCTGTAATAGAAACTAAAATTTAGCTTTTCTTTATGAGATTGTTTGCATTCAACCTCTATTGGCCCGACTTTATTTTTATAATAAAACATTTAATGCAAATAAAAGGTAAGAGAGTTAGGAGCCTAAACAGCTTTAGACACGCTCATTATGGGTCTTCTAAAGAAGGTGGATAATAGTAACTCTCACCACAACAAAACTGATTATATTAAGACATTAGATGGTAAAATAATCTTCAGGAATGGAACAATGGTCAAACCAGCATCCTATGAGAAGGTAATTAACCATAAGCTACATCAATATAACTGTACTTGGTCTGCCTTTACTAACTAACTACCTTAATATAAGCAGAATGATGGTCGTTGTGGTGTTCTATGTATCTATGCTTGTTTTGATGTCTGTTTATAAACAAGTAAATTAATAAAGTGTGCATTATTAAAAAAAAGAAATTTAAAACCTATGTATGTTATTAGTGAAACTGTCACCACCTGACATGAATGCAGGTTAACTTTATTTTATACCAATTAAAAGCACTTTTCTCTCACAGGATATTTCAAACTAACTCACCTGAATTTATTTTTACTTCAGGACATTTCTTTTTTTATTTTGACAACCAATACGTTTTTATTTTTTGAAACCGAACGGTCTAGTAAGGAAAAAGTAGTAGTTTTGTTGTTTTTTTTGTATGACTGTGATAAGAAGCATCCACTTTAATTAGCCTAATTTTGTTTGATTTAATGTCAAGATCTTTAAGAAATTATAACTAAAATAAATTATTTGGACCTTTTCAGTATTTTTAAGAATTCCGAAATCTACAACCCAACAAAATACTTAAAAACACAAAAAATTATGAAGAGAAATAAACTAAAATACAACAATCAAGTTTTTTTTTTTTACGGTCTATGGGTACAAAATTGGCAAAAGGGAAGAATGACAGGGGGTCCACTTTAACAAAATGATTTATAGCACTTTTAATTAATCCATCCATGCTTGCTATTAGGACATATGACAGCAATATTTCTTTTGGTTTGATCAGGACACATTAAGACTTTAACAGAGCAAGAATTATTTACCAATCTTATGAATCGCTCCTGTATAATCAAAGAAAATCCTCCTTCCAAGAAAAAGACATTCAGTTAAATATATATGGTTAAAATATTCGGTGTGATCTGGAAAAATTGGAGCTAGAATAGGGCAATGATATATTTAAAGTTAATACTCTTATAGAAGATGTAAAAATAAAAAGTTTAATATTTTCCATCCTTTTTACAAAGAATAATATTTATTTAGTGTTTTTAAACAATAAGTAGCTTGTAAAGCATTGTTTTTCTTTGAGTTAGAGCAGTCCTGCACAATGCATTGAGTCACGATCACATCAGCAAAGTGAAATGTTTCTATTCTAAGGATACTTGGATGCAAACCTGTCAGCTGCTTGAAAACTGTTTTCCATTTAGAAATATGGCCACTAAACCAGACATTCACTGTCTCTAAAGCTCAAAAGTTACAACAACGCATATAGATCTCGATGACCACGGTCAGAAACTCCCAAGTAGTGCTGAGGACATTGTGACGATAAAAAAAAGATACTAAAATTGACATCTAAAATCATCCTTGCAGCTTTCTGCAAACTACTATGATTTCTTCATTAATGGAGCGATAGTTTATCGCAGGGAAACATAGAGACATAGAGACAAACAACCATTCATGCACACACTCACACCTAAGGAGAATTTAGAGAAGCCAATAAACCTAACAGTCATGTTTTTGGACTGTGGGAGGAAGCTGGAGTACCAGGAGAGAACCCAAGCATGCTCAGGGAGAACATGCAAACTCCATGCAAAATTGGCCAGGAAATGAATCTGCAACATTCTTCAGCAGTGCTACCAACTGCTCCACTGAGCAAACGGTAAAAAAAAAGGTACAAAGTTAATTGAAAAGTTAAAAAGTAAAGTTAAGAAGTTTATAGCTTAATTAACATTTATATTTATGTTTATAAACTAAAAAATATAAATCCCAATATCAGCATTAATGCCTCTAAGGTTATGCTGTACAAAAAAAAATAAAATGTGTTTCCTTCACTCTCAGTGTTTTTCATGAAATTTCTTCTAAAAGCACTTTTGGAATTTATCTTAAGTGTCTGTATCTGTAAAAGTGTGGAAAGCCTTTAAATCAAGGCTTAAAACACGTGTTTAGGATTGCCTTTGACTGTTCTAGTAAAACAGTTCAACTGAAACATCATTAGTTCCACTTTTTTATTTTCTTTAGTCCAACCGTTTTTAATATTCTTTTTTGTTTCTGCATTTTTTATGTTATTTTTTCCTACTTGCTTTGATTCCGTTTTATTTTCCTATATTTTAATCATGTAAAGCACTTTGCATTGTCTTTGTACTGAATTGTACATATGTCCATCGACATATATATAATAACGTTTTTTATAATACACACACACACACACACACAT